GGCATAGGTACTTATATTTGTGAATTTATTCTTTATGCAATAAATAACCTTTCTTTTGTAATTTGCTTTTTATATAGAGAAATAAATCTGCATCATACGGTATTTCAATAAGATCTATACCCTCTCTTTTACATATATTCTGCTTTTTTTGTCACGCATTCTTTGCATATTCAAATCAATTTGCCCCCTCTTATGAAACATAGCATTCTGATGATAGTGTTGAACCCCATTATACTCTCATACTAATTTTAATCCCTCATTATAACCATCCAAACGTAAACCTTCCAAGAACTTTGGTGCATATGGCGGAAATTTCTTACCTAGTAGATCCTCGAATATGTATCTACAATTACGCTCGCAAGTATGGGGACAAATGGGACACCATTCAAATTTCAACTTCTGAGTCTTATAAGATACTTCGCACTGATGTTTTCCGTTTTCACATGACCAAAGATACACATTTAAGCCATTTATTCACCCAGATTTTGTTATACAAGTTCTACCACGTTTCTTGGCAAATTGCTGTGCCTTGTCAAATTCATTATTAGAAATATGAATAAAGTGAACTAATCCAGTGTGTTGATTTTCTGATAATATATTTTTGGTTAGAAGTTGAAGTGTTTCAGTATTCACGTGTAAGAGCTCTTCTCTCACAAATCCGCGCATTGGAGCATATTTATCACCATCACTTCCGAGATAATATAAAACCGGTTCATTTTTCATTACTACGATTTTTCGAATTTTATATAAAGAAGGTGAAAACGTCAGGTCCGTGGCCCTTCTCTGATTCTCCATACCCCCTTCCCATTCAGCGTTAGCAAGAAGATAACGAACTATATCTCCTTTTTTTAATTTTTCTTCATTCTTTCCTATAAGACGCTTTCGTGAAATAGATGGCTTAGATTCAACCTTTTCTAATTTGATAGCTTTTATTGGTGCCAACCCCCACTTCGAGGAGCCAGGAGCTCTAATGAGGCGCGTAGGATAATTATTAAGATAATCTATTACTTTGGATAAATATTTAACCCATGCTCTTATTAATTTAGGGTCTGAGAATATACTTTCAATGCTATATTGAATCTTATATAGTATTTCAGCTAGAGTTTTATTAAATCTCTCCACAATTGCTGTACCACGATGAGAATATGGACCAATAACTCGAATTATTACACCATGTTCCTCTATTATTCTACTAGTCTCGCCTATCCATTCCTGACCATTATCTGTTTGTAACAATCGAGGCCAGGTTAATAGATAATTATGGCTATTATATATTTTCTTAAACGCTTTAGTAACTTTTGAACTTTTCTTTGACATGAGAGGAACCGAGACCTTATATCTTGACGCACAATCCACTATATTTAATACTGCTTTGTATGTCTTTTCTTTATATTTGTCATGTGTGAGAAACAGTATATTAGCCTGGTGTACACAATTAGGACGTGATATCTGACTATAGCTAGCTCTAGTGATGTGTTTTGGAGAAGGCTTATAAATTTGGTACTGTTGTTGATACTCCAACCACTCGCGAATTTTTTTATATGGAAAATGGTAGCCTTCATCCTTGATAGCTTTATATAATTTTCGAGCATTGGAATGATAACTGGTGGGGTTATAATAAATTAACCAGCAAACAAGATCTACTTCCTCATCAGGATCTATAGTAATACTAGGTTGGTCCATTTTTAATGTATTTTACTATATCAATAAATTATTATTTGACAAAGTTTCCAGAAGCATCAATATATTATAGGCTTGTACAATGCCATCAGATACAATAGTGTCTCTACCTAGTGAAACAATCAAAAAATTCGAA